GCTGTAAAGAAACCTAAGCAAAAAAAATAACTTGAAAATAAATGGTTTTAATTTGATGGCTTAAATAGCATTACTATATATTTGAGCTTAATCTTGGTTTACTCATTGAAAGTTTGGATAGATTTATTTCAAGTTTATACAATTAACACGCCGTATAGCTGCACTTCATACCTTATAAAGCAAGCTTTCAAATGAATGTAGCTTTTAAATGAATTATAATAGAAAAGTGTGAACATGTTTGGAAATATTAAAATGGAAGCTTTCATCTCGAACAAAGAATCCATATGATTTTCAAGAAGCTCGAATACTGTAGCGACGTCTGCCAAAATTGTATGATGCTTTAAGCATTTATAGTGGCTTTCATTGGTTCTGTTAGGTAAACATCGTTTGTTGACGTGAGAAAATACCGCTCACACTTAGCATTTGTTTGAAGAGTGTTTGTTTGAATAATGACTTCTGCGCCGACAACACCAATTTCTTGGAGATTCGATAATTTTAAACGAGGTGATGTTGAACGTAGCGGACCAAATGAGGTAGCTACATAAATATCTTCGAAAAATCCTAAAAGATAGCCGAAACTTTTCTGCAGATATCGAAAGGTAGTGGGCGAAAATCTAGATAAGAGAAAAGTGTTGCTCAGGTGGATACACGGGCTTCTGTAATGTTTTGTATAAAAATGAACGCGGCTGATTTAATGAATAACTAAATCGCGGCAAATGACGTTTTCAATTTTTAAAATTACTAATTAAGTGTTGCTGTGCTACATAAAAGCACAATTATACATATTATATATACACATATCGTATTATCAGACATAACTTTCACAGTTTATTGAAGACATTCTTCGTTCCAAGAGCAGATATTATTAAGTTTGAATGCCTATACTTTAAAGAGATTTCCTAAGAGGAGCATAAATTTCTTACTAGATTTTTCGAATTTATGTATATAATCGTAGAGTTTTCAAAATAATCCTAACAGAAAATTTAAAAAATCTAGAGCAGCTTTATAAATCTCTTTTTCTATATTTGAAGTTATACATGTCTAAGATTCTCGCCAAGGAGAAATACCACATATGGTAAAAAATTCGATCCCAGCCGAATATAGTGTTTTTACTTGTTGTACGTTTAAATCAGTGTTATTTTCTTTGGCGTTGACCTGACAGTCTCTAACATGTTAAGGTGTCAATAATTGTAGGGATAGTAAGTGGTGAGTAGCTTTGATGGAGTGCGGGAAATTAGTGTGCTAAGTTCGAATTAAATTAAGAGGCTTTGTGGAATTATCTATACCTAACACCTAAATATGTATTAACTCGGTTTTTCTGTTTCCGCCATCCAGATATATCTATAAAGCGTTTGTCGATTAATACAACTAAGACTTTGCACATGCGCTCTTACTTTAAATCCCCCATAGACTCCCCTAAATTCTGAATATAATCTTGGAGATGAAAAAACTTGTATTATATTCTTATTAGAAGAAAAAGTTGTAGCTTCAAACCAAATACAGCTTTTTTACTCTTTTTTTATTATGCTTTTGTATTCTTTCTTCGCAGAATCGTTGAATTTCAATGTGCTTGTCTGCTGTTTGCTCGTAACCCGTTCCTTTTTATACACTACACCGTTTTCCGCACGAGGATGTATTAAGTGTAGGCGGATGTATGCAACACATAAAAAGCTTGAGATAGAACCACTGTCCATTATACCGATTTGAGCTTGTCTGTTCATATGTCCATTTGCCTGTCTAATTTTCTTGTATTCAACGCATAAGTTGTAGTTTTCTAGATATATTCATGAAATTTGATACACCGATACGTTCTAGCCCAAGCACGAAAGTTATTGAAAATGGTTTTAATCGGATCACTTTTCTGGCACTTTTTGTACCACATATGAATAACTGTGTTAAATGAAATGATATAGATTATTTAAAGATGGGCCTTGGCCCACTACCGTGTGTTTGCTTGTTAGTTATTGTGTTTAAAAGATTGAAAAAAATTTGGATTATTGTATAATGTTTCCAATAATGGAATCAAAAATAAACATAAAGAATTCTGCTCTTAGATTTCTCTCCACAACAAATATCCTGATATTAGCAAAACGATTATCCCATTCCTTGGAAAGACATTTTCCCTTATTAACTATTTTAGCATCGAGAACATCCTAATGTATCTAGGAAATATCTCGCGTAGGTTTCGTTTAATGACGGCTAAACAGTTTATGAGTAGAGAAAGTTTGTCTCAGTTTGAAAACAAAGAAGTTTGTTTGCGTTTGTGTCAGAAGATTGGGAACTAATTTGTAATTGAATTTGATCAAAATAATAATTTGGAAGGTAACTGAAGTCATAAATATCTGTAATTAAAAATTGACAGTATATATATTTTCTATTAATTTACTCTATTTAATTAAGCAACGTATGCCTCGCATATGAGTTTGTGTATTGGCCACAATTTCGGCCAAGAAATGAGAAAATAAAATTAAAACATCCGCATTGACAAAAAACAAACCAAACGAACACAGATAACAATGATACGCCGCAACGCCGCCCATAAAATATTCTACATCAGTTCGCCTAACAAAAATTTTCATTTCTCGATTTTAGCAAGTTGAATTTAAAGTATATAAGCTCTTCGTTATATTTTCGGAACAAATTCACAGACAAGCGGGCAGAAAAATAAGCCAAGATAGCTGAAATCATCTATAATTTTCAGATTTTGGATTATTCTTGGCAAAATTGTGATCTGTAGCAGTACGGTAAGGACAGTTATGGAAAAAAAGAATTGCTTTGCGGAAACTTTTACGCTTCCATTATGTTCTTAAAAAAATTGAATCTTTTTTTGTACTTTAAAACTAGGTGCAAATATTAACCATTTTTTAATAACTTAACCCTTTTAATAAAAGTAGAAAATAACTCTATTTGTTGGATCCCTTGATCAAACATGTAGAGTTCATGTATTTTAACCTCAGCGCCAATGTAGACATGAATACAAATTTTTTTTTATTTATATATTATATTAATATTTTATTACAATATGCGACGTTTTTACCACGTAGTTATACACAGTAATTAGAAGGCATCAGAAAATACTAATTTCAGCGATAGGGAAAAACAGGTTGCTTAGTAGCAGTAGTTTGCTTAATTTCATTTCTATAAAACTGTTAAGGATTTGCTAGTAACCCGGGGTCTAAAAATTTAATTTTTTAAAATAAACGACGTGAGAAAGAGTTCTCTAATGCATCAACATTTATAAAAGTCCGCAATAAGGAGATGTGCGCGTAAGTGAGCAGATTTTTAAATATAATAAGTGAAAAATAAAACAAAGAACTGGAAATGATTCTGAGATCGCGTTAAGTTGATATAGGTAAATTACTTAACATAGTCAAGCTAAGTCACACAAATAACCACTCTTTTTATAAAAAGTTTATGGAACACTAATTTCATTCATTCACTGCTTTGTAGAGCCGGCAATTCTACCTTAATGTTAATAATAAATTTTTGCATGTAATTGTCTAACGTTCGTTTTTTTGTTTTAAGCCCACTATCAACGATTGGGAATAGACTAATTCCTTTATATGAGTTATAGTAGAAATATGTCTACATTTTTGAGCACATTTGCGATCCCACATTTGATAGGATACTTTATATATGTTAAAGGGATTTATATTTCGGCAAATAAAAGTGGGCGACATGGTTGGATTTTTAGAGATCATCTGGAATTATCCCTACTATATATAAAAAAATTAAGTTTCTCTATAATCATAAACACTTTTGCTTATGAAGCTGTTTATATTAGGACGATGTGTACTCAAGTCTCAAATTTATATTGCTTTTTAGTTTATTCACTTGTACATTTTTAGTTTTTCCATGGCAAGCCAACTAAATGTATGCGTTGATAAATGTAATTAATTAATTGTTGTATACATATTAAAACTATGTGTTATATGTGGAAATGTTCATATGTGAATGCGAAAATTGAAAGTGTTATATGTATTGTTATTGATATTATTATTTTAATTTATTTTTAATACACATATGTTGCTGTTATTGTTGTTGTTCAAATTGATATATATTTAATGTTGTATTATAATTCTTCCTCTGTGCTTTTACGTTCTTTTGGGTATCTTACTATGTAACTAGTGTTTTCAATACGTTTGTGCTGGGATTAGAGAGCGAAATAATAAAACAAAGCGGCAAGCTGTTACACATTCAATGTTTTGTTCTGTAATGTGTAAGGAAAAGATATTTTTACGATTTAACGAGTCCAATTTGAGTACATACGTTATACGCATGTTCTGTTAAATGTCTTCAAGGAGATTTAAGATTTCAAAAAACCTTCACAGGGTAATTTTCTCTGTCCTCAATTATTCAACGCTTACATGGACAAAAAAGTGTCAAAGTAAACACACTGAAGTCGAATTCGAGAACAACATTTAATCGCTTACTCCTTGTAATCTGTAAACAATTGCTAGTCAGATAGAATATAAAAATTATTACTCAGACCGGGGATACACCTTTAAGCTCACAAAAAAGAAAGTAGCTTAGGAAACATGGAAGATAAAGTTTTATCATGAATTTTTAATTTGTTATGTTGTAATTATCCTTTTTAATGGTACGAGTTAATGGTAATGTGGATTCTGGCTAAATCAAAGATTGAAAAATACTAGTACGTCTTTTATTTCACCTATTTCTTTGTACAATTCCCTCTATCTTAAAAAATCAGTGTGAAGTACTTTCTTCTTCCATAGGGTTCCCTGTATAAACTTTCAGCTCCCGTAATATCCATTTAACAGAAATTTCAGTCTGTATTACTTTCGGTGTATTCAGGGTTTTTTACGTTGTTTGTGAGGTTTATAAAGCCAGTAATTTTCGAGGAAACAAATGAAAACACTAGAGATAAATTATTATAGATAAAGGATTAAAAAACTTATTAAAAACTGCTTCATTACAAATTCTTCGAGTCAATTTTTCTTTAATTTTTTATACATGTTTTGTACCTTATTGACATTTAGATACGCGTTGTAAACGCATTCCGGCAGGGACTAGATGCTCGTTACAGCGATCATGCTAACACATCTCTAGCTGAGGTCTTACGTAAGCAGACCTCGCTTAGCAAGCGCTTGTCAGAGACCTCTTCAATGGAATATGCCGACAATATACCCGACGAATTGAAGTTACCTGAGATCGATGTTGAACGACTCTCATCTCACAGTCACACGGAGACCGCAGTTTAGAAAGCTGCTTGAACGAAAAATACAACAAGGAACAAAGAACTCTCTTCTTAGTGGGCAATCTACAAGCCATAAACTCTTAATCTTAAAGAAATGCATCAAAAATGTTAATAATGATAATAATAATAACAATAATAATAATAAAAAGCACCATATATCTGTGTGGGTTCATTTTGAAACAGTGTGGTGAAAGGTCGTGACTTTTTGCTTCTTATCTCTTCTCTTTAATCATTACTGTTACAGGTCGTGTAGATTTACAATACTCTCAAAAATTTTTTAAGTGTCAATTCGTTTTTCGCGCATAAGTACTTTATCACAAGATAATACTTGTTCTCTGTAATGGATGTGCATGTAATTATGATGCTTTATGTCCACGAAAAAGGACAATTTGAAGCTCTTCTCTTATGCGCACGTCTTACGTAACAAGACGTCAAAGAAAATCCCATTTTTTCTGACAATATAATAACAAAAATAATAGTTAAAAACTGATCAATTTACATTTGATCAAGGTTTCGGCTTTCTAATGCAAAAAAATCAACTAAGAGGATTGAAGTGTATTTAAATATTATTCAAATATTAAACTTGATCACAAAATGTGAATTTATAATATAAAATAGAGAATAGTTCTGAAATTTTTCTGAATATTTGAAGTCTCATAAATATTAATAAGAACCAAAACTGACAAATACGATTTTTCCTGATTAATACCAAACACGTCCTATAATAATATGTACGCAAATATACATTAGAAAGTGCTCTTTGTGCGGTCTTGATCTGCAGCACAATGAATAGCACAATGAAAAATTAAAAGAAAAGTGTGAATAAAGTTTTATCTCGGAAATAAAGTACGCATCAAGTATAATTAAGATAAGTAATAATTTAATTGAACTTATGTTATATGAATATAGAATAATAAAAATACAAAATTAGAGAAAGTTAAAGAAATTTTATTTTGTATTGATTAATTATGTTCAAACGACAGTAAGTGCAGCTAAAACGTGATTGAACCAACGACACCAACGAAATAAAACATTTGATAATTAGTAAGACCAAAAAAATCTTAAAGGGAATACTTAAAATTATTTTCTTAAAAATCCACCTACGAGAACCTCATGGGTTGATAGGCTATAACGGTCATTCATATCGGCTTTATTTTACCTAAATATTTGCAAAATCAGCGTTATTTTGATGTGCCTTAAATGCAATGGTATAAGATTTGTTTTAGGATGTCTTCATAATATTGTTTGGGTATTATTTAAAAGTACAATGTAAGTTAATTTTTAGTTTCAAAATATTTTCCACTGAAAGTTGACAATTCAAAAAATTGGACAAGAGCCCACTCGACGCAAGCTATGCTTCAGCAGCGTGCTTTTTCTTCTTATGATTTATGTTATACTAACGATATGTCATCCCGTTAGCACTTTCGTTATGCTCCTCAACTAAATTTTGTTTGTACGAGTTTTTAGTTACCAAATTTTGTGCATTTCATGCGGAAAAAATGTTGTGAATCTAAAAAAAAAATGTTTCTTTTATTGCTTTTCATATACATCGTCTTGTCTAATAGACATCCTTGCTTACATGCAACGCGAAATGCTTCGCCTAATCGAATTATATTTGCCTCCGAAAAATACCACGTAGCATATTAGATTTATTCCCTGATTGCGATAGACAGTGATTTAATTATGATTGGTGTGTGGCGGCAGCTATAATGGATGGTTGATCGGTATAGGCGTAACATTTACCAACTGGGCATCCGCGTCGCAGAATGCGACCGCAGCATTTACCCGTTCTTTTTCTCTGCCAATCGTCTTGTTAATACGCATATATCATCCTTTAAATGATTTGTCATGAAATAAAATTCGAAGACAGATCTCTAACAAACAGCATTTTTACCTTATGACTATTTTTTAGTGAATTTAGCGCCCTTAGTACATTTTTTATGTACATAGAACTTTGTGATGTTAATTGCAAAGAGAATGAGTAATGTAATAAGAATGATTAATGTAATGACACGAAAAAAAAAATTATACTTCACACGTCTACTTCAAAAACCTTGCTAGGATTGGAGTCTCTAAAAAATGGTTTTCGCCACTAATTCTCAAGATTATTGCTGAATCAAGACACTGCATAAACTTTACCTTTGGATTTAACTTTGGATTTATTTGAGTCGCACGCAGTAATCTTCCAACTCTCTCTTCGTATGAAATATTCTTCATCTCTTCGATACCAAGAAGGGAAAAGATCAAACGATAGCTTCTTATTTACTTCGAAAAGCGTACCGACTCCTTTGCAGTCCTTTATTCTAGATTCTTTTTCTGCGTGTTATCTTCATAAATGCCATGAAATCTGTTGCATTACGCTATTTTATTTCAAGTAACCAACGTTCGAAACGAGCAAAATTTCCTCAATGTACGTCTTTTTCCCTTGTAAACAGTAATGCACCCAGTGATTACGACAAGTATCTGTTTTAGGATTTCGGAAACCATAATTTCTTAAAGTTTTGCTTAGCTTATTGTTCCAAAAACGAGTTGTTTGCTTTACGTCACGCAGTGATTTCTTAAATTTTGACGCCTTACCTTGTTGACCACCGAGCTCTTTGGGAAATTACATATAGATGCCTTAATCTAGCTCGCTGCTCGTGATTATGTGCGGTTGATCGACATCCAAGTAACCTTTGCCAGAAAATGCCAACAATAAACCCGATGATGAGAAGCGAAGAACGGAGGAAAAGTTTGGTGAAAATTAATGCTCTTCGCTTGAGAAAACTCCTTAATTACTGATAACGCCGTGAAGCTTTTAGCTTTCCCAGGTTTTAGCTTAAAAGATCAAATGTTTTCGACAGTTTTCTTATATTTTGATAATTCAACAATATTCCATTTGTCATTGCCTATAGTAGTTCTCCATTGGTTTCTTTAAAAATTTTGCTTCCGACAAAACAATTAACCGGTCTTTGTATTCAGGATGGTTTTCTCATACCCTCTTCTTGCTTCATGTCGTCTTATGAGACAACATTTGAATCATCCATATCTCCTGTAGAAACTTCTTCATTAGCCTGGACAACAAGTAAGAGTTTAGCTACTTCATTTCCGTGAATTATGATGAAATCTGCTCATCATCTGAGTAGATTTAGATCCAGCGCTTGTTCCACCGTCCTAATTTAGACACGGGGAGTGTAAAAACGCTCACTTGATGTTTATCTCTTGTGGAATAACATTTATTCTCCACACAAACAACATTTCGGATTATGGTAATTTTAGGAGCCTTTGCATACGTAAACCTATATGCCTTCAAGATTTGTGCGTTTTTCTTTACGAGCATGCGCGACAGGTATATAACTGAAAATTTTCAATAAACTATTACAATAACAGTTTGCTTTCAGACCAAGCTGTTTGGAGTATACAATTTTAAGGACTTTTTCATAGTAGGCGATTAAACAGGTATATTACGCTATTACTGGCTTCTGATCAATAAATTCTTCTAGTAGCAAACATACAGTGTATTTAATAATGGTGCCATTTATCCTTTTTACCGTCCCGTTACCGTATAAGCCTTGAGGGTTCATTCTTTCATTCCTCAAATTCATTCTGGTAAAGTCATTATTAAATACCAGTAGGTAACGTGAACGAATTTCCTACAATGCAATGTTCAGGCCGCAACTGCCGCAGGCAATCAAAATGCTTCCTGCAATTTTAGATATTCTTTATTTAGCTTACACTTACCATTTACATGCTACGTACAATAACTTCACTGGTAGAATTAGGAACATTACATCCTTGAGTACAGGGTAATTTTTGAGGGCTTGGAATATCAATGGTTCTGGTTTCACTTCGTCTGGTGTGATGAATTGTCCAAGGTATGTAACTTCTTTACTGTACTTACTTTTTGGAGTATATTTTGTGGGTCTTTGGAATACTTTGATTAGTTTGTTATTGCGATGGCGATTCATGTACTATTATGTCATCTACGTAGAAGGAAGATTTTGTTTCTAAAACAGAAGGTGCAGTATTGAGCCTGCCCAGAAAGTTACTTGACAAAAGTTTGAAACCAAAAATTAACGCTGTAAATCGATAGTGAGCGTTTTTGGTCGAACATGCTGCTAATTTAGATTTGTCATCTAGCATTTAATGAACAGTTGATGCCTAAAACATTGACATATTGTGCTATCTCTAACTTGTTTAGTATGTTCTGTGTTCGTATGAACGGAAACTTCTAGTTGACAATATCGTCATTTAGTTTTCTGTAATCGACGACTAACATTCATTTTTTTGGTATTGTTGCCAATTTAGGGGTGTGATAGTCCGTAGTTTCTGGTGTAAACTGCTGTTTTGTCATGTAAATCCATGCATGTTTGTAAGCATGGTTTTAATCATTATTATAAACATGAATAGAGACATGAATTACAAGACGAAAGCCTTAAAGCACTAGCATTTAAGGCTTGTTCGTATCCTCAGTGAAATAGCGTTTGAAGGTTTTAGATAATTTTGGTAAGTTCCATATGCGTCGAGCTTAAGAGGTTTTTAAATGTTCTTTCCAGCGGTTTTTGCTTATTTTATTAATTTTTATGTTACAATGTTTGAATGGACGTGTTCCAATTTTTCGGTTATTAATTGGGATCAATTGACTATTTGTGTTAAGTAAGTTGATATGTTTGTTGTCTTTTGCCGGTATTATGGAGCTCGCTGGATGTATGCCAGTTGCTACAGCCCTTTTCTGTAATGTTTTTATTCTGTATCTAATCTTAATATGTTTTTGCAAATGTTGCAGTAGAATTTTTGAAGAAAGCCACGTCCTCGTATTCCACCTGTGGCGATGGGAGGCATTATTTGGCTTTTTTGTTGTTAGGCATCATTTTCTAATCTAAAACTCTACAGTTGTGAAACTTAAGGAGTAAATTTTTCTCTCGTTATGCCCATTAATCCACAGTGATCTATTATGTTTCCTGCTTAATTTAGTATATCTTCCTTGCGTAAGACGTAAATCTGCTCCTGAGTCAAATAAGAAAGTGAATGATTCTGAGCATTTAGTAAATATGACTGTTATGTAATTTTTTAGTGCTGCTGATATTAAGTGTATATTTAAATTCAGTGCCCCACAGTTGCAACGTTCGCCTATATGCAAGTGGTTTGGAGTTTCTGCCCGTCTGCTTTCCCTCTGCTCATCACAAGGGAGTGGTATTCCATGTGCTAAAGGAATTCCGGTAATATTTATTTCTCTGCATATTTTTTCCACGCATATAATTGCTTAAATTAAAGAGAGAAATTATGAAAAGGAAGAAAAGTTCAAAATCCATCTGTATAACATAAGGATGGGTTTTGCATAAGCAATTGGAATTTTTTTTTTTATACGTGCGGAGCAGGCACCTTCGGATAAAAAGATAAAATAAGAAGAAGAGAAAAAACTTACCAAGGCAAAGCGTGTGTGCCGTTAAGTTTAAAAAAAGAAAGAGGAAAACCAAAATGGTGCGCACATCGTGGATCTATGATCTCAGGAAAGATGAGCTCACTGCTGCTTGCACAGAATTCGTTCTGAAGAATTTAAATACATAAGGGAAGATGCGAACAGCCTTGGGAGTGCTACTAGGCTCTACCAACAG